TGTGATAAAGTTATTTTAGAGAGACCTGTTTTTAACAGCACAAATCGGCTCACCTGTAGTAATTCCAACTAAACCTGTTCTTTCTGGTCAGAATGTGTTAAAATAAAACTATATACTATTATAGTCTAACAAACCTCAGATAGAGCAGCATCACACCTCCAGGGAATCAGCTGCAAACTATCAGTATCTGTGTAATCTCACAGTGGTCTAGGTAGGTTCCGTAGTGGTCCATGGGCGTATACCACTCTGTGTGGCCTTATACTTGTTTTGGTACAGCTCAAGCTCATTCTAAAGCTTTTCAGGAAAGGTTAATTTCCGTCCTGTGAATGTGACTTTTAAATTAGTATCTAGTTTTATCGATTAGTGATATGATTTTCGATACATTTGACAACCATACTCAAATACATCTTCATGTATAATGTGTTAATGATCCCATATTGTTCATCTGCAGGTAGTTTCAAGTGATAGTCAAAAGAACGGAGGCAATGAAGAGGCTGAAGCAGAAAAAACAGATCAAGAAAAGCCCCTCAGGGTTTCTAAAGACCGACAAAAGAGTAGTGTATCCGAGGAGCCAACAGAGTCTGCAACATCCCCCAAACCTGGAGAGGCCAAGAAAGGTGCAGTGTTACTCTTACTCTCATATTCATATATCATGTTATAATGTAATGTTTACTCATCAGAAGCATACTTGGAGTTTTGTTTCATTCACATATGTTTAACACCCTAATTGTGCATATTTAGGTTGAGCTTTTCTCAAAAAGGAAAACACTCTGTTCCACCTTGTGATGTCATGTAGTAATACAGGAAGTGCTCCGCTGTGTTTTTAAATGCCTTGCACCATCACTATCTGATTTCTCCTTAACAAAAGGTAAAAGGTAGATGAGCATTTTGAGCTTTGAAGATGTAGATAGACTAATAATAAAGAATTACTCAAACATGTATGAATGAAACAAAACACAACTCCATGTATGTTTTTGTTGAGGTAACCGCATTTTAACATTTTAACAAGCTCACACGGGTCAATTTAGTGTAATATAGGACCTTTAAGTTCATTGTATAATTTTACCATAAAGTTGTGTTTTTTTTTCCATCTATAGTTTCTCCCAGTGACACGCTGGTACGGCGCTCTATCAGTCAGCAAAAGTCAGGGGTGTCTGTCACTATCGATGACCCCATCCGCACAAACAGACAACCATCACCCCCACGAGGAAAAGTCTCAAAGATCATCCATGTGACCAATTTAGTGAGTCTGTGTTCATTCTATATGCCAAAAAAATTCACAATTTTCTTTGAGTCTGATCACAATTTTATCACGATTCATGTAGTCTATTTTATAATGTGTTTAAGTTTAAGTAAACTAATCTGCTTGTTCTGAGAGTTCAGAAGAACTCTGACTGCTCAGAGCCTCGGTGAGGTTGAGGCTAAACCTAACTTTGGGAAAAGTGTCTGTGTTTGAGTATAGAGATGCATTAATCAGTTAAGCACTGAATCACAATCTGATTTATGAGAAAAGACCATATTGTCACATAGATGAGATCACAATTCAGATTTTATCATCATAGACAAAGGGTTACAACCCTAACTTTTGTATTCTCTTGTGTAGGTTCGGCCCTTCACAGTGGGTCAACTTAAAGAGCTGCTAAGCCAAACTGGGAGCGTGGTGGAGGACGGTTTCTGGATTGATAAGATCAAGTCTCACTGCTATGTCACAGTAAGTCTGATGTTTGTACATTTGTTGTTTTCTTGTATGTTTCTAATAAGAGTATTTTGGACTCCATGACAAATGTTTTTCCTATGTTCATTTCAGTACTCTACAGAAGAGGAAGCAGTTTCTACCAGAAACGCCCTTCATGGAGTAAAATGGCCTCAGAGCAATCCCAAAGTCCTCAGTGTGGACTTCAGTGAGCAGGATGAGGTATTGTACTCGACCTATTTATGTAGTTATAAATGTACCATATTAACCTATCCATATTTCTACTATTATATAACTTTATTTACAGACTCAGGGTTCAAACCGTACACAGAAAGACACACACCCACAATACACTACATTCATATATAAACCCACCAGCACACACATACACAAACACACACACAGAGACACATAAACACATACTATTGTTTTGGGCACATTAGTTCAACATAGATACACTTATATTAAAATACAATACAATTGATGACTCTAGTCAATTTTTGTTCTCCATCACAACTTAGTTGTGTCCATCTATGGCCACTATGAACAGAAATATCTTAAATTCTCCCCTGTGCACCTCAACAGTGACTGGACTTTTTGGAAAATTCAAATATTAAGAGTTTAAATACATCATTGAGTGCAATTGTTTCAAGTCTTTAAAAAGAAAATTCACTGTTGGTCACTGTTGAGCTCCATAGCCTCACCATTGTCAGCCACATAACACTCTAGTAATATATTACAGTAGTTTATATTTTACAGAAATGTGCTTAGGATACACTTATTGAGTCTAATGCTTATCTCAATGTTTTTGTCTCAGTTGGACTTCCACAAAGGCATCCTTAAAGTCAAAAAGGAACCGGACCACGGCATCCCAGCGCCCAGTGGACCTCACCCGAACAGACTGCCCCCTCTCATGCCAGAACGAGACAGAGACCGGGACAGAGATAGAGACAGAGACCGCGAGCGGGACAGAGGGCTGGGCGTGGTCCGGGACCTATGGGCGGAGCGTGAGCGGGAGATGGAGCGGAGAGAGCGGGCTAGGGGGGAGAGAGAGTGGGACCGCGACAAGATCAGGGAGTTCGCTCGACCAGGGGAGGACGCACGGCGATCTAGGTCCAGAGAACGAGACCGCCGGAGACGAGAGCGTGCCAAAAGCAAGGAGAGAAAATCTGATAAGAAAGGTGTGAGAAGACACCATGAGTTTAGCATTTGTACTGTGACTGTCCAATCCAGCTATGGAAATAAATTTTTCATCCATTTCTTCAATAGACTTATAGAAAATGTAATTTAGAGTTCAAAGGCATTGCAGGGGCTAACCAGCGATGTGTTGTTTTTTTGGTCAAAAAAACACAATCAAAATACTATATATATATTTTCTCAGAAAGTCTATGGGGTGAAATTAATGACAAATTTGCTTCCAGAACCAGGGGGCAGGCAGTCACTGTTGAGCTCCATAACTGTTACATAACTGGATTTAACTTTTAAAATGTGTGTCGTTTTATAGAGAAGGGAGATGAGCCTCCAGCCAAACTTCTTGATGACTTGTTCTTGAAAACCAAAGCTGCACCTTGTATATACTGGCTCCCTCTGACTGAAGAACAGGTTTGTTTTGTTGTAAATCTTGACTGTTGATCCATTTGATTTCATACTTTGCAGTGACGTCACGCTGGGGGTGTACTATGTGTCTCTCTAACGTGGTGATGTTTAGGAGTTACCATGGTATCACAATGCACACATTAGCGAACGCTGTCAAAAAAGTTTTAAGACAAAAAACTCAACACATTTTAATGTGACCGTTTATGATCCTGTTTGTGTTTGATTTTCAACAAAAATGGTCAGCATGAGTAACTGAAAAACTGTTGGCTAATGCTAGCAAACTTTAAATCTAACTTTAAGTGACTTTAATTGTATATGTGAGAGACTTGTTTAACAGTAAAAATCAGCTCTGCTTTTGTAGTTCCAGCTAAGTCAAGTTAGCATTTAGTTAAGTTAGTATTACACCCCTAGGAAAATTTTATGACATCAGCCGCAAAGTATCAGTATTTTCTCCCCACATATCCACCATTCCCTGAAAAATGGAAAAAAGCAAAACCTCATCTAAATATGTTATGATCTTGACTGACCTCCTTTTGTAGATTGAGTCTGTCTGTGAGTAAATCCAGTCATCACTCGGGCATCTAGACAGACATGACTCAGTACATAGGCCCCAGGATGTGGTTCAGTCCAGTTAACTAGTGCAGTTGTTGAATCTCCTTGAACGGCGCTGATATTTTTACATCCTCAACCGGGACTCCATATTTCACCAACTGAGTCATTTAAATTAATTTGCCATTTTGCAGTGCCTTTGTGAGCCAACATGTGCACCACATAAGAAGCCAAAACCACTACCATAAAGAATCCAAAAGCCAAATATATGTGGTATAATTTAGTAATGGATTAGTGGGTGGCACGGTGCAAGCCTCATTTTAACAAATCCGACTAAACTCCGCCCACAACCACATTTCAAATAGAGCTACTAAACTGGACAGTACTTGAAGGACTAAAGAGTGAGAGAGGAGGGGTGGGGTCTAGTGGTTTAAGGAACAGTGGGATTTGTCCACACTTCAATCTCTGCCCCCTGCAGCCAGGTGCTTGTAATCAGAAACACCTTAGGGCAGTCCTGTGTGATGTCACCAGCTACTGGAAATGGAGGCCATTGAAGGCAGCACAAACTGGGATTTAGGTATTATTGACCAGAAATGTACCTAGTTTCCACTAAAGTTGCCAAAAAATGACTGAACAGTAGATAATGCTTTTAAAACACCGTATACACAGTTTAGTAACACGTTGCTCAAATAAGTTTAATAGTTGTACATGATCCTTTTAGTGTTTTTTATGTCTAAAGTTTCCTGTTGTATCTTCATCAGGCAGCACAGCGTGTTTTGGCCCGCTCAGAACGCAAAAAAGAACGAGAACGAATACGCAAAGAGATGGACGAGGAGGACAAGAAGCGAGAGGAGGAGAAGAGGGAGCGACTCAAGGCTCGTGAGAAGGAGGGCGGGGCTGCTGGTGGTGGGGGTACAGCTCGCCGAGTGCCTGAGGGGGACCGAGGCCGGGAGGGGGAGCGGAGGAGGGACAGTGCTCGTGGGCCCAGGCGTCTCTCCGCAGGAAACCCACGACGATCCCGTAGCCGTAGCAACCCCAGGGACCGGCGACGCTGAAGGGCTTACATGGGCAGCTTCAGAGCCGACAGGTGGAGGTGTAAGGAGACTAAGCTGATGGGGCTCCTCACCACCTCACGCTCTATGGTCCATTTCAAAGCTGGTATGGTCTTCCACACACCTCACGTCACCTCATAGGGATTTGCGGTTTTGATTCATGACTCCTTGCGGCTCCTTTGTCTTCCTGCTGCAGAGTACCGTCCGTCTTTGTCCTGTAGGGGGCACTGTTTCTCCTTCTTTGTCATGTTTTTTCTTCAGTCCAGAGGCTCCTTCACTTTCCCAGAGGTTTTAAAGCTCGACTATTTTAGTTCTGTGGGCGCACACTTCCTCTTTGTGACTCTGTAACACCATAGACCCTGTACATTTATGTATTACATTAGTTTTTAATGTTCTTCAGCACTGAGATTTTTTTTTTTTTTGTAAATCATTGAGGCAAAGATGGTGTTTTACTCAGGCATTCTCTCATTTCAGCCCTATAGTCAACATAAAACTCCATAATTACGTTTTGAGAGTATGAATTTCCTTTCCAGTTCAAGGGTGTACCGTTTTCAGTGAGGTGAACAACCTGTCGTGTCCAGTTGGGAGAAAAAAAAAAACTCCCTTTGATTTTCTAATCATATATATACAAGGTAAAAGAAGTTTGTCAAATAAGAGTAATGGTTGCAGTTTTAATATTTTTAATTTTGCTTTTAGTTGAATTTTGTTTTAGGTGCTGAATGTACTGAGAATTTAAATGAATAAATGAAAATGGTTATCAAAGGTGGTAGTTTTTGTATCAGTTTTGTACATGGAGACGCATTTATTACTACATACAGAAATTACAGTGACATTTTCTCCCATGTTTGAATTTACATAATCATCGTTACAGTTAAGTCAGATTTAAGTGCAAAAGTCTTGCTAATAATACGTATATACACAACAAAATCCCTTGTTCTTCTACAGCAAACCCACACATCTGGGTTGGGCATTAATGGACAGTAGTTTTGTTCCCATTCCCTTTAAATGGTACAGTAACACAATAAGAATTACAGCAGGCAGATCTGTCCACGGGGCTGGTGAAATGTCCTGACAGCAGTTTGAAAGTTGTCTTGTTTTTGCTACAACTTCTTACATTGAAATGTTAAGACCAGCTTAGACACATCACAGGCGTTCAGTGCGCGTTGTGAGGGGGAATGTTTTGAGAGGCGCACACTCTGCTCATGTGGCAGGAGTGGCACAGCAGATGAGAGTCCAGCGGGAAGCACTGAGATCCAGGTTTATCTGAGAGCTGCTTTCCACACTCCTACAGAAGAAGCGCAAACAGGAAGTAAGATCAGGGGGCTATAGGCAACTGTCAAACTGAGTCACCAAGGAAGTCATTTAAAAGAAGTTTAAAGTGTTCAAATACAACAGTCAGCAAAAATATTGAAAATCAGATACTAAAATTAGAAAAACTAGACACTAATTTGAACAGGTGTAAGTCACATCAACCAGATAAAAATGAACCTTTCCTGAATAGCTTAAAACTGACTGAATGTTTAAAGTAATGCACAGATATAATGTTCTATTTTATGGTAGAGACTTTAATATTTTGTGTTTTTTGTCTCTTCCTGCACCTCTTTTGTTTTTTTTAAATCAAGTGTGCTCTTTTTATTGTACCAGAAGTATAAGACCAGGTAGACTAGTATATTCACATGGACCACTATGGATCAAACCTGTTCTCCACTACAAACAACAATGTATTACATATTTAAATTTTTATTAGATATAATTTGATCAGTTGATTAATTGGTGCTTAGTTACCCCATAGATCATGCTTTGTAAAGACTTGATAAACAGATTCATTAGAAAGTCGATATGGAAATAAATTAGGAAATGGTCTTCTAAACAAACTTTAACATAGGGCTCCTGTGACTGCCCCAGCAAAATGATAACTCTTAGCTACTACAGGGGGCCCTAATTTCACTGAATCTTTTCTCTGCTTTAAGTTAATAACTTTGACTCACCTCACAATGGTAACACTCAAAGTGATAGTCCTTGTTCATAGACACAACCCTGAGGATTTCTTCACTGCCCTGTGACAATGACAACAAAGCACATTTATACCCAAGGCAAAGGTTTATGTACTTCCAGGAAATGTGATTCATTCAAAGAGTATTTAGGAACCATTTATGTAACCATCTTCTCTTACTCTAAGGCTGTCACGCTAGTCATTGTGCACTTAGATTAATGTAGTGTCAAAAGAATCGAAAATCAGATACTAATCGATACTAGGAATAATATCGAAAATAGATACCCAATTGAGCAAGTATCGATACGGCAAAAAAATAAATAAAAAAATCACATTAATAGGACAAAACTTGAGCTTTCCTGAACAGTTTTAGTGTAGTTGAGCTTTGAGACTAGTAAACAATCTCATGGTAACATAAATAAAGTACCATTATTGTTTTGTATATGAAAATTACCACATTGAAGATTTTTAGTAATTGAATGCAAGCAGTATCAAGTATTGAGTCAAGTCCTTAATATCAAAAGAGTTTGACATTTTTGTATCATGACAACACTAGCCTGATGAAGTGACACAAACACTAACCTCAGATGGCAGGATGGGCTGTAAACAGGCAGCACATTTAGGAGCAAAAGTCCTGCAAAAAATGAGAATAAGCCACATTTTCCAAAAGCAAATACTAAACAAGTAAACACCAAACCAAGTAAGAATTTTGTTCCAATATGAATACAGGAGACTGGTGGACTCGTCGTAGTCTTAAACCAACCTGGACTATACTGACAACAAAATCAGACTTTGTAGCTCATTATATTATCATAAACTTAAAACATATATTAAAAAAGTCTACACTGGTCAAAATTAGATGTTAAAGATTACAAATTTTACATTACCCCCATAAACTTATTTTTATTTTAATGATTTAATCTCACTCTATGGACAACACTGAAGCCTTACTTGTTGTAATCTGCCACACAATAGATGTTGCTGTGTTGATCCACAGTGAAAGGAACACCGTCCAGAGCCTTGGAGCAAACCACACAACGGAAACAACCTGGATGGTATGAATTCCCAACAGCCTGCAGGATCTGAGACCAAACACAAAGATTAGCATTTAGATAAAGACTTGGCTGTTGTGTTAATTTCTAGGATACTCATTTGACATGATAAAAATACGTTTAAAGAGCCCATAGTACACTATTTTCTGATCTACGTTATGTTTCCTTATCACAAACGTACCTGGAGTGCTCCACTATGTTCTTAAACTCCATACACCTTTGATCTCAACTGAACAAAAAGTAAAGGGTAGCTGTTACCTTGAAAACTACCACTACATGACATCACAAGATGGAGCTTTGAGTAATCCTTTATTATTAGTCGGTCTATATCTCCAAACACGTGTGAATGAAACAAAAGACAACTCCAGTTATGTTTGTAGTGAGGAAACAACATTGTAATATATCTTAAAGCTCTCAAGAATCCATTTTGTGTAATATAGGACAATTAAAATCATGAATACACATAAACTTAGCAAACATTAAATAAATTCTGACAAACTGAAATCCTCTTCTATTCTTATCTGTTCTGCTTATTTCAGCGAATGCAGTGCAGAGCTTTATATAAATCTGAGACAAACATTCCAGTAAAAATCTGTCGTGGGAAACCAAAGAGCAGTCAAGTCGACCATGTCAACTCTCTCCGGTGGGAATTCTTGAAATGCTGGGAAACAGATAAAGTATGTGCTCCTGAGCCCCCAAATAAGAAGAGCTGTAGGCCTTTAGTTTCTTAGTCGATTAGTGCCTTATGATGGTTTCTTAGTTGGATCAAAATTTTTATTAGTCGAACAATTATATTCTTTAGATTATTTCTATAGATCTATAGATTTATATGTACAAGAACAGAAAGGGGCATGGGGTGAGCTAGCTGAAAGTTTGTGAATTTAATCTGCTTTTTTACATATACTGTTTCATAGTACTATCCGTTTAAAAAATTTTTGCATTAACTCCTATGCATTTTTTGTGTGCAGTTTGGGTCATAGACACTGAAAAGTTTCAAAAGCTTTTGCCACGCCCCTTTTTAGTCGGCTAAATCCATCATCAGGGTATGTTTTAGTCAACTACAGCCCTACTTATCAAAGGGCCCACCTTATGCTATTTTCGGATCTATGTTATAATAGTTTTGTCATCACAAACGTACCTGGTGTTGTGTTTTGTTTCATTCACACATAACACACAACCCTGATGAGTTTGGAGGAGTTTCTCTCAAACTGAAAACACTCCAACTGTTCTAACTTGTGATGCCATGTTTTAGCACAGGAAGGGTTCCACTGTGTTTTTAAACTTCATACACCTTTGCTAGAATCACTGGATAGTTTCAGCCCTGGAATTTCCCATCTACTGAACTAAAGGTAAAGCTGTAGCTGTAAACTTGAAAATTAAAACTTCATGACATCACAAGGTGGAAGAGCATTTTGAGCGTTGGAAAAATAAAGGAATACTCAAACATGTGTGAATGAAACAAACAGCTCCAAGTATGTTTATGATGACGTAACAACATTCTAACATGTCTTATAGCTCACAAGAGTCAATTTTGTGTAATATATGACCTTTAATGTGTGTGTCTAACTTAAGTAGTGTGTACATGCAGAGACACGCACCTGTTCGAGAATAAGATGGCCACACACACTACACTTCTCTGCAGCCGCCTGGAATCCTGAAAACTGTAATTAAAGAGAGAGATTACCATACAGATCTGTGTGAGCGAGACTATGACAAAACGCCTTGACCTCATCACTTACCATGTAATCCTCTTTACAGTACACAGAGCCGTTGACATTGTAAAAGTCCTTGTTTCTCAAGGTGCGTCCTGCAAAATACACCAAGAGTAGATAGAATTTAAGAAAGTAAAAAACAAGACAAAGGCAGTGCAAGAGGAAATGTAGGTACTTGCCTTTTATATAAACACAGATATGATTTTCAATAGAACCATTTCTGAAATAGTTTATAATTTAGAGAGGACAATTAGACATCATTTGGGCTTTCCTGAACAGTTTTAGTGTCATTTTGAGCTTCATCAGAACAAGGCAGTGTGTGCATTTCTATTGATGTTTTGCAGTGGCATCACACTGGAGGTGTTCTACATCTATCTCAATGGTGGAATGTGGTGGAATGACAATGCACACGTTAGCAAACACAAACGACTTTTAAGATTGACTGAAAATTCAAGAAAAAAACTGAATGGTTTAAACACCACATTTTCAGGAGCCTATGATAAATACAAGTGTTCATGGTCCTGTTTAGACAAAAAGGTGAGGGTGACTAACTGAAAAACTGTTGGCTAATGCGTGGTAATGTGTGAGAGACTTGTTTCAGCAAATAATTTCACCTGCTGTAGTTCCAACTAACTCCTTCTGGTCAGACTGTGTTAAAACAAAACTCAGATTAAATCTAACTTGAGTAACAGATATTCAGACATAGAAGTGCCAACAGTTCGCACATCACGCCCCCAGGGAATGTTGATGAAAAGTATCATTAAATGTAGTTGTTTTTACTGTGTTTTGGGAGCACTCACCACATGAGACACAGGTGAAGCAGCGAGTGTGGTACAGACTCTCCAGAGCTTGGCAGGCATTGTCAGCTCCATACACTCCTTTCCCACACTTCACACAGGTCCCTGAGACACGAAGGCAAAACACAAATGGACAAAACAAGCATTAAGTCAGAGTAATCGCTCAGTAGCTCTTAGCACTTACTTTACGACGCATTCCAAAAGGATGTGTCTGAAATCCAACTCTACACAGTGTCAACACTTGTAAATCCTCTCTTTCGCACCACCGTGGGGTATTTCACACAGTTACAGCCCGGTTACCCATGCCAGCCTGTTTGCTCACCCACTCGTGTGTGTGTCATCAAAGGGAAACTCCACCGGATGTGACTTCAGATCAATGGAGGTCATTTATATACTTGAAATGTAGGGCCATAGTCAGCTAAAAAGATTCTTGGTCGACTAAAGACGTGTAAAAAGGGGATCAGGCTAAGGCTCGCAAAACTATTATGTATCTCTATGTATAAGACTACACCTGCATGAGAGTTCATGCAAAAACAACTCATTTATTACTAGGAAACAAAGTAAAAAAAAGTAAAGACAGATTAAATCTTTGAATTGTGCATTTAATCTGTTTTTTTACATTTATATATTTAAAAATACCAAATCTTCAGATAACTCACTCACAATTCACAAACTTCTCCTTTCTGTTGTTGTACCATATAAATCCTTATAATCAAATTAATTGTTCCACCTTGTGATGTCATGAAGTAATCGGTTTCAGCTTAACAACTATGATAGACTGGAAATTCCAGGGAAATCAGCCTAAATATGCAGGATTTGTGAGTTAAACGAGTGAATGAAAAAAACTATTCCAGGTATGTTTTTGATGAGGAAACAACATTATAAACAAACATCAGAAAATTGACCCTTTAACAATCAAATAGTCCTCAAATCAAGACCAAAGTGTTGCAGTAGGTTTACTTGGTTGGATCTATTTCAGTTTGTGTCCGTTGCTTCTCATGTGGATAGAAAATTCCTTCACTTTTTGGCTGCTAGGCTCTGGGACAGTGGCCTCCAGTATGCAGCCCAAAACCAAACCCCAGAGGCAGGACTCACAGTTGTCCTTAAGTATACTGCCGGAGCTGCTGCATATAGAATAAAGGCTTGGAAAGAACAGGGATGGGACCACTTCCAGGGACTTTTTAGGGTTTTAAACCAAAAGGAATTTTGCGCAGTGAACCACCCTTCTTTGACCAACACTAAAGCTGAAAGTGTATAGAGTTTAATTTTACTGTTTAAAACTTTTTTATGTCACTGCTATACTGCTACTTTTCTGATGGAGGGTCCGCTCACTATTTGGCTCCATGGAGATGTTAATACTTTAGTTCAATGCCATACTCTGGACAGTTTGAACTAATCATTTTGCATTTATTTAACTACAAGTGTTTAAGTGTTCAATAACATTTCTTACTTCATTCTTACTGTGAGTTGGGCATCTCTCCACAAATCTAACCTTTAATTTGACTTGCAAGTGTCCATGGAGATTCATATGTTTATGGCCATACTGTGGAACATTCTAGATCAATCTCCCTGGAGACAAGCAAGGTGAAGGACTGTCTACACAGTGCACATTTAAAATAGAAACTACAAAAACTCAAAATACAAAGCTATCAATTACCTTACAGTTTAAAGTGCAATTCATACAAGTAAGTGAAGCCTATTGCAAATCTTTACATTTAAGAAAATCTTAATTTAAAATCTTGCCTAGTCTTTCCTAGTTTAATAATTTTGGAGAAGTTCATAATTTTACTTCCTGTTTGAACATGAGCTGCAGATATGAAATTACCTCTATGCATGTCATAACTGTTTTAAAATTCCCCAGTACTTCCTTTATTTATCCACCTTTTTGTTTTCTACTTCTCTTCACAAACTATCCCACCAAACCAGGTAATGGTGTCAAAAACATATTAATCTGCCAAATGCACTTTAACAGGGAACAGGGAACAGTTAGAACGCCATTTCCTCATCACAAACCTGGAGTTGTGTTTTGTTTCATCCACACGTTTAACCCTCACACTCTCCTCGGGGTCACATTGACCCAAAGATTTTTTTTTTCTCGCTCTCTTGGGGCAGGTCAATCAGACCCAAAAATTTATTTTCAAATAAATTCTTGCCAGGTGAGGAGAGCTTAACACACAAACCCTGCACATTTAGGCCAAGTTCTCTGAAACAGAAAGCACATGGTTTCCCCTTGTGATGTCATGTGGTAATACAGAAAGCATTACCTTGTGTTTTTAAACTCCATACACCTTCACTAGAATCATTTGGATAATTTCAGCCCTAGAATTGCCAGTCTCTACTGAACAAAAGATAAACAACTACATGACATCACAAGGTGGAACAGAGCATTTTGAGTTTGTGCAATGTAGACAGAATAATATAAAGAGAATTAGTCAAACATGTGAATGAAACAAAACACAGCCCCAGGTATGCTTGATGCTATAACAACATTTCAACAAGGCTAAATGCTCACAAGAGTCAATTTTTTTAAGACCTTTAAGAAATCTCTTATTATTATTTTTCAATGTAATCAAGATGCTCTTTTTAAACCAGAAGCATCCCTGTTCACGGCTCATAGCGTTTGAGCCTAATGTCTAATAGAGATCCGAGTACAGTATTGTATGTCCCCTCCAGGCACGCATACCTGAGCAGAAAAACAGGCTATAGCACACCGCCCATGCACACGCCACAGCAGCCGTATTACAGACTTAAATACACAGACACACTGCGCTACTGTGGCCTGAAGTCACTCCGCCGAAACACGCCCTACCACAAAGAAACAATATACACATCACAGCGCACACAGCAGCCAATCACTGATCCGCTATGACTCAGAGAGGAGGCTGAGGCTGCACTTATCTCGAAACATGTAATTTGCCTTTACACTGAATTTTACAGTTTAAACCCATATGAAGTCCCTAATGAGGCGAATTGAGAGCATCCTTGTTCTCCTGGCTTTACCTGGCTGTGGGGCGCTGTTGTCTTTTAACTTGAACTTGTCCTGATCAGTTTCAAACACCTAAGCATTTTTCTCTTCTCTTTTTGCCTGCTAGTGCGTGCTGTGAGCCAGCATGTCTCTGCAAGTTCCAAGGCACCAGTCAACCATCCATACACTATTTCAACTATTAATTTGTTCATCCATGCTTGCATCCAGCCATCGTGCCCTTTCATTTAGAGAGAACCCTGTGATAGGACACAAGAAGTGAGGAGGACAGTAATAACACAAACCGCTGACTCGGGCCAGTTAGAAATACATGAGACGCATCAACAGTGACGCCACTGTCTTGAAATCAGAAAATTACTTAATTGTTGTTATGAATACTTTTCAAATAAGACTTTCCATTGATTATTCAAGTCTCATAAAAACAAAGTAAATACATTTAAGTGTGGCCAGTAGGTTATCATATAGACACATTACTTTGTATTTGTAAAATAAAACAGTAAAAGTGCAAAGTCTTACCAAAGTATTCTTGTCGATTCTCTGTCACCTCTCTGGGCCCTGAGGAGCTGAGATCTTCTGGGGCTTTGGCTGGTCCTGCAGTGGAGACCTGCGTTGTACTTGGCTTGGAGATGGCAGGAGGACACTGCTCCAGCTTCAGAGATCCTGGGAGCCCCTCCCCTTCTAGAGCTGCATCCCGAATTAGGAGCCTGGTTAGCTCCTCTTGGTACCTGGTCCCTGGCTGGTCAGAGTAGCGTGCCCTCTCTCCCTGGGCCCCGGCCTGATGCTCTTCCCACCATTCTGCACCAGTCTGGTAACACACAGCAGCTGGACTGCCCACAGCGGGAGGGTAAGAGTGCCGACTGTCCTGACCGATGGGGGGCACCCCTGCATCCAGGTATTGACTCCAGGCCTCTACAGGGGTCATCCCGGGCCGACCTGGGGGTCCATATCCACACACGGAGCCAGTGGGGACAGAAGGGGACTGCTGTGGGGTAGGCCCACCAGAGGTAGAGTAGCGCGAGTCGTAGCCCAGGCTGATGCCACTGGTTCTGTTACTGCTGCAGCGGCTGCCCATAGGGCTGCCACCACCGCCACCGCTGGCTGTGCTGGACGCAAAACTAGACCTTGGGCTCACCAGCACAGACTCTTGCAGACTCAGAGAGGAGTAGGGGCTGAGGGCCGGCCCTGGGGGATAGAAGAAGCCCCCTCCCACACCTCCTCCGCTCACCTCAGATGGCCGCTGTGGAGGGTGGGACAGGGATGCGGGCCTAGGGCTCTCCCAGAGGTCACTGCCCGTGCTCAGGCGTTTGTAGAAAAGTGCCTCTTGCAATGAAAAGCGCTTGTGTCGCTCCGGCTCAGGGAGATATCCAGTCTCTCCCAGGCCCCTGGGGGACGAGCTGTACCCAGGGATGGAAGGGTATGCCGGGGGCACAGACAGAGGAGGAGGCTGGGACAGGTACTGCTGCCTCATGACCAGCTGCTGCAGCTCAAGGGAATAGCGTCTTTGATTGAGTGACGCCTTGGAGCCGAAGAGGTCACACTCAGGGCCCAGGCCAGACTCTCGCCTCAGGTGGGAATCAACGCCTTCACCAAGGTAACAGGAGGCCCGCTGCTGTGGGGAGCGCCGCCTTACTGGTGCCAGGGTGGAGGGGTGTAGTGGTGGTTCAGTGTCTGGGGCCAAGGTTGTAGAGCTCTGTGAAGGGGTCACAAGCTGAGGAGCTACCATCCCAGCTCCTGGCCCTCCTCCTGGGGGCGCTCTGCTCACTGGGACAGAAGAGTCTATGGATGTCCCAGGGGGCAGTGAAAACTGTCCCAGTCTGGAGGGTGAGGCGCTGGGAGCCGGGGGCAGTGAGCTGCCACTGGACACAGCAGTGTTGGCATTACTGTTGTTTGAGTTGCTGCTTGAGTCATGCTTCTTCTTTGAGCTGTTGAATTTCACACTGCCAGAGTCTGTTAGCTTCAGTTTCGTCAATAACTTGCTTATCGGCCTGTCCATAATGATACTTTGTGTCAAGTCCCGTTTATATGCAAAAATAAGTCCAAAATTAGGTCAATATTGTCTCATATACAGTATGAAGATTTGTATAACAATATTAAAAAACTGGCCTTAAAAGTTGTTCAAAGCCAAAGGACTTTTAGAATAAATACAAAAATATAAATAAGACTTCAGAGACATGGATAAGGTGGATACACAGCACGTCCTCTCTGACTCATTTGGTTAGCCTCATGTGGAACACATACGGACACAGGTATAGGGCTGGTGACTCCATTGGTTCAGAAAATCTCCAGTCAGTCCCTTCAAGCGACACTTTCCGTGACCTATGGCCGTGGAGGGCCTCCTTTGTGGGCCCTCGTGTGGATCCACGTTTGCATTTTAGTAAAGTGTTCCAGTTCAACATGCAATTTCAAGTTATTTTGACTGAGATAATTATCCAGAGCGGCGTGAATGTCTCGCCGTATGCACGTCCTTTAAAAACACAAAGCGGCTGGTCACAGCAGAGTTCAGCTTCATGTGGGTCCAGTGTACATAAGGATATTCATTCGTTTGGGTTCAAAAAGTCGACTCACCATGCGTCTGCCACTCATCTCAGAGCCAGATGTGATCAGAAAACGTAAACATACTGAAATTAACTGAATGAAAAATAAGACGCTGACGTCCGTCTGCTCCCGTCTGGAGTTGTATGATCATTCCCGTTTTCCAAAGCACAAATCCTGCCCGGGTCTGAAACTCACTCAGTAGCGGAAAAGTTTACAGAGAGCAAAAACAATGTTAAAAAGTGCTCGTTTTGATAATTCCCGTAGACATTTTCAAGCGAGAAGCTTCAGTTCATAAAATCCTTCCCGTGTGCTTTGCTCGGTCGACAACTTTGTTTCTTTCTTTCTTCCCCCTAAATAATTACTTACCTCCCCCTCTCTCTGTTCATGGTCAAGCGAGTCTTGGAAAAACATAGTTTCCGATTTGGGATTTTCAAAATAGTCTACTCCACGTTGCTTAGAAATTCTTCTGCCACCTTTTCTCTTACAGTTAAACAGTAAGTCCATAATTATACATTGTTGATTTACCAGGTTACATATTAACCAGGTACTTGAGGCAACGACTAAATAATCTAAAATATAATCCTTTCAGATCACACTTCTGCGGCTGCTCGTGCTGTTCTGAATGAACCAAGACAAAAAAACAGACTGAATATGTATCTTCTCAAACTATGAATCTATAACAAGAACTTAGAATACTTCCATGTACCAAACACGTGCATCGTTTTCGCTTTAAAAAAAAGAGTTTTATTTTGAAAGCACTTCCGCCTGCGTACACGTCACCGTTACCTCGGCGTTACCTTGACAACTGATCTCTGCTCTTTATCTATGAGCGGCGCCGGGACACCTTTCCCCCCCAGCCCTGCTGTTTCGTCATTCATACGCGCTGCGCTCTCCGCCAAAACCAGCCCTGTTCAAAATTAATTATAGGAACCTGTGATAACTTGTGCTAAAATGCACTATGTTTTATAGATAATTAGTAATAATCTATATGTCAGTGGTTGGACAGACCTTTAAATAATAAACAAATATTTCTTCATTGCTTTTGTATACATGGCTTTTAGGCTTTTTAGGGCTGGCTACTTGTTCAATTATACATTTATAGACTACATAGTAGAGGTTAGAGATACAATTAAAACCTAAACACTTGACCTGATAAGTAAGCGACAAACAAAAATGAACAAATAAAAACTTTTCAAATAACTTAAATTATATACTTTCTGCTATGTCACAAAGGAAATTGTTATCTTACGATATTTACTTTATAATCACTGAAGAAAGGGCATAGGCAGTCGGACGATCATGTTCATCAAAAGCGCCGCCAACCCGGTCGCCCAGACAACGGCACTATTTGATTGTACCACCAGCCTGTGGAATGTGCGGAAGGACACGGGTTTGTGATGCGGCAGGTGGATTTTTTCGCAGAGTGTGAGTTCTCCAAGGACGATACAGAGTAAACATCCCGCACTGTTTCTAAACTACCTCAGCACTGACCATTGACTAGTTCCTGTGGCCGTTTAGTGGCAGTTAACGGTTACTTGAAATACACAACTGCCCTGATAAAACAGTGGGCATAGTGTGGTTAACCCCGTGGGCCCTCTGACGGTCTGTGTGCCTTGAAGCCCCCGCCTCTTTCCGAAACGGCCCGGGAGTGTTTCATGGTCCTGCGGTTCAGTCTCACAGCAGCCTCCTCTGCAAACCATAGCGTTTATCTCACGGCTGGCTGCGAGTGGGAACATGTCCGAAAAGCCAACACAAAAATTCTTCTGGGCTTAGTGTAGCGGCACTCCATAGATTTCAGAAGTTTATTGAAGATCAGAGAATAGGCTGGTGGTGGTGGGGCTAGACCTATTTATCACCGGTTGAAGCAATCAGCAGTCTGGCATTCACAGAGGAGGGGGGAGAGAATAGAATAGGCTACTTAAATGGCCTATAATACACTATCTGATCACTGTTATAATGTTTCCTCATCAAAAACACACCGGGACAAATATATCTTTTGTTTTGTTTCATTCATACATGTCACACATTTTCTCTCAAACTAAAAACACTCTATTCCACCTTGTGATGTCATGTGGAAATACAGGACGTGCTCCACTGTGTTTTTAAACTCCATACACCTTCACTAGAATCATTTCAATTATTTCAGACTTGGGATTTCTAATCGCTACTAAACAAAAGGTAAAAGCTTTCTGACATCACAAGGAGGAACAGCATGTTGAGCTTTGAAGATGTAAACAGAGTAATAATAAAATATTACTTAAACATGTGTGAATGAAACAAAACACAACTCTGGGTATGCTTTTGATGAGGTAACAACATTATAACATGACTTAAAGCCCACAAGAGTATTTTGCATAATATAAAACTTCCTTTAATAGAGCATAGGCGAAGAATATGCTTAAGGACTTAGGAGGAAAGATTAGTTTTAATAATTTGCTAAAGTTTCCGTCAAAAGTAAGAAAATACTGAGGGTTAACTGCTTAGACCATTAATTAAATTCGCTGGTCACTGATCCCGAGAGACTGGAGCGTGATCTGAAAGCAATTCCTGTATGTTTAGCTCCCTCTGCTGGGCAAAGAACCACAGTGCAGTCAACATGGCGGCTCCCTTCAGGACGCTGTGCTGTTCAGGTGAGATAGAGGTTACCATCAATTTATTCTATTTACGCAGCTTTGTGTAATCTAACTTTAGTTTTTATTAGGTGTGAACTTATTTAAGTATCGTTATTTATTTTGGAAAGTCCTGTTTTGTTAGAGGACTTGCATAAGCCCACGTTTTGTTAGCGGCTATGATGCTAACAACAGCGTGTGTCTGCAGTGTTATTCTCTTATTGATGTGGTGATAATGTAAGTGTGTTGTTTCAGTCCTGAGACACGGGGCAAGGCAGCTCAACACAACATGCACCGCACAAGCTGGGCAGAAATGGAGGCAAGAGTAAGTTCACAATTATTTGAGATTTCAGAACGAGAATAAAATGCTTTTACTAAACTTAACCAAAGCTTCAAAAATGACTAACTTTGAATGGGATAAGATTTCATCCAAGAAGTTTGTCAAGTTTGTAGAAAGGTTTTGGGATATCACTATTAATACTTTGCAGCTGATCTCATCAACATTCCCTGTGGGGGTGAAGATACCTGGGGGCACTTCTCTATCTGAAGCCCTTTGAAGACTTTAATCTAAGCTGTATTTTAACACAATTTGAGCAGAAAGAGGTTTTGTATTTTTGATTGAGTTTTCATGCAATCTTAACTTTTTTCACCATGGTAACTAATGAACATTCCACCAATAGAGATACATTGTAGAACAATCAATGCAAAGTATTTATACTGTTCTGGATGACTTTCCCTTTCTACTAAAAATACAATTAGTGTTTGTTTACTATTTGACTTATTTTAGGAATGGACTCTCCCGATCGGGTTCTGAATTTGGACCTTTAACAGATCTTCCAGACTGGTCTTTTGCAGGTGAGAAATTCATTATTCTTCTTGATTTTTGTCCCTTTGGCAGCTATACACCTCAATGTGTATTTACATTTTGCGTTGACAGACAAAAACATTTAATTCGTACTCTTATGTCCACAGATGGGAGACCAGCCCCTCCACTAAAAGGTCACCTAAGGAGAAGGCAAGAGAGGGAAGATCTAGCTGTAAGTGAAGTCATTTGGCAGTATGAATAAGTGGATGTGATTGAGGAATTGCAATTCTGTGCTGTGCCACCCCAACACTGCCAGCTCAGTCTTTTTTATTTACCTACATTATCAGAGGTATAACACTATGTACAACAGACACATAGTTATACCGGACAAGGGTTATCATTAGTATTCTTGTTGTATTGAACCTAGTTACTCATTTTAGCAGGTATCGATACTAAAAAGTTGGATCAACAGTGCCAAAATGTTTCCTGAATAGCTTTAGATGATCTTGGGCTGCACCAGGGCAAATATAGGATCACATATACCTGGACAACAGAAGGATTACAGAGATATAGAAGAACCAATTGTATTATAAGGAAAGTACTATTATTTAATTTTGAAAATGTCTAAATAATGTTTGTAAAAAGACATTTTTTGTTGTTTTTTTATTATCATTGTGGTATCGGAACCTGTATTGAGTATCACATCTATTCCTTAGTGGAAATTGAGTTTGAAATTTTAGTATCGTGACAACACTAGACTGGACTTGACTTTAAAGGACAAAACCATCACAATGTCTTGGGTATTCATATCTCCGGGACTGAGTATCTCATTTTAATACTAGGTTTAGAATCAATTAGTATCTGATTTTCGATACTTTTCACAACCCTACTTCAGTTTATTCTACAACAGGGTGCAGTCATATTGTTACTGTTTGTTTTTTCCAGAGACGTATTGTGATGTTGAGCTCGGAGGTGGACAGAGGCATAGAGACCTGGGCAAAGAGACAAGAGGAAGCCGAACAACATGAAGAGCATAGAAAATCAAAATTCCTCAAACCCAAAGGAAGACTATTAACAAAGAAGGTCCCAAAGAGCTAGATTCAATGTTTTGTTTGCACATGTTTCTTTGTTTTTTGGTTTTTTTTATTTCAGAAATTAAATAGTTGAATAAATCTCTCTATTTATAATCTGTACAAACCTTCTGTGATATTAATTAATTATGTGCACTTATAATGTTTTCAGTTTTAATCTACTTAGTAGATTAACTTTAGTAGATAATCCTTATCTACTAAAAATATAGAAACTAGATACTCATCTGAGCTCTATCAGAACAAGTTTAAACCCCACATAGACTAGTATATAGGGCTGGGCAATTAGTTTAATTAATTAGATTAATTCAGGTTTTTAATAAAATTAGTAAAATCAAGGATTATTATCAAACAAATTTACTCATGACTTTCATACTTGCAAAGCAGGGTTATTGTATAAAGACCTTCCCCTGTTTAAAAGACTAGCAATCCCTGCTCTTAGATTTAGATTAAAACTGCATAAAGATTTTATATATTTTGTCCAACATTAAAAGTACTAATGTTGAAAATGACGTTCTACTATCTAAATAAAGGGTGTGTTTTTATCATCATGCTGTTAAAATGGTTTCATTTGTATTGAAATCAAGTTTGACATTTTAGATTTTTTGCTACAGTAATCAATTGTTTATGGACCATATCTATTAGTAACAAAAATAGTCTCTTAATACCATTTTACTTCCACTAGGATGCAGCATTTCTACTGTAGAAGAGGCTCCATTTTGTCAGAGGCTCACAGTGGAGTGGTGTTGAGCAGAGGAAGGGAGGAGTTGGTCAGCATAAAGTCCCACTGATTCAGGTCATAAATGTGTTTGTGTGTGTGTGTTAGAGGGGTCATGGTTTGGCTGTAGTGAAGTCATATTTCTTGAAACTGGTGATGAGTTCTTATGAAGGCCTTTTCTAGCTTTCTAGTGCAGTCACATCATAGCTGTCAACACCAACTCTAACCTCCTTTACTAAGTATTCGTCTTAAAGGGCCCTTCTTATGCTATTTTCTGATCTATGTTATAATATTGTTTCCTCATGAAAAAAATTCCTAGAGTTGTCTGGGTATATTTCTGAGGTAACAACATTATAACATGGCTTAAAGCTCACAATAGGTCTTTTAAAACTGAAGAAGTCATGTACAGCTTTATTAGTCATTATTAGGTGATATAGAAACTTGACTTCTTAAGTAATTTTGGTATTCTTTCTTCTACCTCCGCATGGAATCTATTATGTCTATGTCTATTTTTGTCGACACATTGCAGAAGTGAGACTGTAATTCTTATATAGTTAGCATTTTTTAGTTTAAAGTTGTATTGTGTATTTTCTGGTGGAAGGTCAGTCATATGATTGTCTTCATGGTGATGGTATTCTTTAGCCTGGAATATTCCACAGAAGTGAATAATATTTATTCAGTAGCTCAGTTAGTAAAGTGTTTGTCCACTGATCCAAAGGTTGGCAGTTCAAATCCCACTGTCAACATAAACATCATTAGTTGAGCGATCAGATCCACAGACCCACAGGTTGGTGGTGTGTTTCCAGCTCCCACAGGTGAATGCTACTGTTGTGTCCTTGGACAAGACACTTAACCCACCTTGGCCCCAGTGTCTGTGTGAATGGGTGAGTGGTTTCTTGTTGTAAAAAGACTGAGTGCCTTGAAGGTGGAAAAGCATTATATAAAAATGTGAGCCTGTGTATCTCCATGAAGACATGCAGCACCACAAGGCCAAGTCACAGGTCAGATCTACCGAGAGGCAAGGAGAGCAAGATATCGATCAAGCAATCAAACACTTGTAATTGAATGCACCAAGATATATACATTTAATGCTTTTATTATTTATTTATTTATTTTATTTATTTATTTATTTCATTCATAAAGCATAAAAAGACATCGACAGTGTCACAACATCAGACACACAGGAAATGAATGAAAAGGAGCAGAAAGAAGAAAAAATCTTATGTTATCTGCCCCCCTTTCCTTTTTCAAGACAATACATTAACACCGATGGTTACGAAACATTCCATATCAGTTCAGGCACAATTACTGATCAATTGCAAACAGTAATCTTCACTATTATGGACAACAACTTTTAGTTTTCTTTTTCATACATACACACTGCATTCGATTTTATATGTTTTTAAAATGTCATCATTGTACTTGATTCTTTTATTTTTTTGTCAAGACTGTTCCATAAGTTAACTCCTTTCACAGCGACGCTTCGCTCCATAACCTTGGTTCTGAATCTGGGTTTTTTAAACATGTAAGCTCCTTTTAAATTGTAGTGGCTTGTTCTCATCTCAAACAGTCTTTGAATATTTACAGGTAATACATTGCACTTTGCTTTATGCATGACTTAAGGAGACTTAAGTCAACAATATCCTGCATTTTCTACACTTTAAGTTGAGCAAATATTGGGTTGGATGGCTCTCTACAATGACTGTTGGTGATAATTCTTAAGGTCCTTTTTTGTCAAATAAATAAAGGTTGTAGGTAAGTTTTACATGTTGAACCCCAAATTTCTACACAGTACATTAGATATGGTACAATTATAGAGAGCTTTTCTGTGGAAAATTTGAGGCAAAGCAATAATATCAATGGCGACAAGCAAGTAGCAGAACCTCCATCAAAAAGTTTAATTTTAGAGTTTTTTGCTTTTAATACAATCTAATGGTTTCAATTCAGTTCAAGTGTATTTATATAGCTTTAAAAATTTAACTTCAGCTGACCAAAGTGCTTCACATAAAAGTCGACAAAAACAGAAGAAACTGTTACATATATACAAATAACATGTGAAAACTACAACTGCTTCTTGACATCACAAGGTGGAACAGAGCATTTTGAGCTTTGGAGATATAGAAAGACTAATAATAAAGAGTTACTTAAACATGTGTGAATGAAACAAAACACAACTTCAGGTATGTTTTTGATTAAGAAACAACATTCTAACATGGCTTAACTCTCACAAGAGTCAATTTTGTGAGATATAGGACATTTAACAATTGATATTTTGAACAATTAGTGTATGTTTATTTGCAACTCCTTCTTAAATTCCTGCTTTCTTTAGTCCTTCTACTCGGTTTGTACTCCCCCTCCATGTGCCCGGGTCGTGTTGCAGACTTCAGCAAAAGCCTCACTGTAATTAAGGCCACTAGCCGCTGAGTTGCAGATTCTTTGCTGTGGAAATGGGAGTTTTTTTCCCCCCCTCCTCGCGCCTCATTCTTTGTCTTTTTACAGTGTTAAGAGCTGAATATTTGTTGTCTTTAGAGGGGTGTGGGTCGAACAAGCTGCAGGTGTTCAGGTATGAAAAGTCTTGTAAGTGCAAAAATTATTTGAGCCTTTTAAAGTTCCTGTATTACACAAAAGGAATTCTTGTGAGCTTTAAGTCATGTTATAATGCTGTTACCTTATCAGAAACATACCTGGAGTTGTGTTTTGTTTCATTCACACATGTTTGAGTAATTCTGCATCAGCAGTCTGTCCCCAAAGCTCAGAAAGCTTTGTTCCACCTTGTGATGTCATGTAGTGGTAGTTAGCAGCCACAATTTCCCTTTAGTTCAGTAGAGATGGGCAAATCAAGGTTCTGAAATTATCCAAATGATTCTAGTGTCCTGTCTAGTGTTCTGTATTACCACATGACATCACAAGGTGGAACAGAGTGTTTTTGTTTTAGAGATAAATATGCAGGATTTGTGTGTTAAACATATGTGAATGTAATGAAACTCCTGGTATCTTTGTGATGAGGAAACAATATTATAACAAAGATCAGAAAATAGCAAAGTATGGGCTTTTTAAAAGACTTCAGGAAAAAGTGGAGGGCAGTGGCTCATTTGAAACAGAGCTTTAGAGTTGCCATTTGTTCCTAATATATGGCAAATGAAGTATGTTAAACATAAAACATGTTAACTCTCCTCCAATTTTCTGCTCTGATTGTAGACTTCCTTTTAGGGTTGTAGACCTTTAGTCACTTAGTCAATGAATCGGTTTCGTATCATTATATTATATTTAGATTATAAAGAGACAACCGCAGAAAGGAAAAGTTAGTGAGTGACTGAGTTAGCTGGAGACTTGGTCTTTTTTGGTATTTATATGTAACAGGCCAGATTAAACTCATGATTCACAGGTTTCATTTGTCTTTATATAAATACATCATTTCCTTGTACTTGTCATAGAAATGCATAATAGTTTCTTTGTGAAACTTCTCTGGTGGAGGGTCTGCTACCTACTTGTCTGGAATTTTCTGTGGTATGACCTTAAGCATATCCACCTAGCATTTATTCATTAAGGGTGTTTCTATTGCTCAAAAATACATGAATTTCATCTGTGAATCGGGCGACTCTCCACAGATCTGAACTTTAATGTAGCGTATTGCTGTAACCTGCTTGTCTCCCTTGTGATAAATTTGTTTAATCTCTACTATCTCTAACATAGACAAGAAACATTTTCATGGAGATAAGGAGGTGGTGCACCCTCCACTAGAAATTTTACGCAATGCAGCTTTAAGAACTAACAGATATATACAGGATCAATCAGTCAGTATCAGGATCAGTATCAATCAACGTTTAATCCAAATATCTGTTTTAATCTCCAGAGATTTACACTGTTTCCGTTAGAATATTAAACACAGATGCCACACTCCCTCAGTAACACACTCTTGCTAATAAATACCTACATAATTAAGAGCTTAAATGGAATGAGCTGCTCCTTCAAACTTTAGCTGAACAACTTCAGTGTGCACAGTTTCATAGTGGTAAAATGGTTTGTTCCCAATTCAAACACAAACCCACATAATGATCCACCACCATCACTTCATATAGTTTTGTCTATATACTCTAATGATCACTCAATACTTTTAAATGATCAACAGCCCTTAAAGGTGTTTCTATTGGAAAGTCTGCCATCTGTTTGTCTCAGTGGTCATGTCATTGCTTTGCCTGGGATGTTTCACAGTACAGCAATAAACAAATATAACATGTATTTATTCATTTACAGGTGTTTTTATATCTCAAAACTACCGCAAAGAGCATACCCACTTCTCCACAGACTTGGCCTTGTAATATGGCCTGCTTATCTCCATGGAGGTGCGAAACTGTAAATACAAAACAATAACATCTGCATGGAATCAAGCAGGTGGCGAACCCTCTAACAGAAAAGTTACATAGTGCACCTTGTGCACTATGTAATGAAACTGGTTTAGTGGTATAAAATCGACCCATATCATTTTTTTTAACTACATATAGATTTCATATCCAGATGTTATGCATCACATTATTATATTCCACTTATTTGCTAGGTGAATTTAAAGGTACAGTATGTACATTTTTAGAGGTGTTAGGGTACCTGCATAATTGTGTGAATATTAAAACCATACTTAGGAACATTCTTTGTGGAGATAGATAAGTTTTATGTTCAAATATATTCAAGCAGGACAAGGCCCTCCTACAGGCCAAGGAAGAGTCAGGTTTGTGGAGATGCAAGCTTGTTCACAGTAAGGACACATGTTTTTAGTACAATAAATACAGCCAAAACTGTGTTTTTGGCTAAAATGTTACATTCTGTGGCTTTAAT